AATTGCTTTTTTTTTAAAAAAACGAACAAAGAATTAAAAAATAGTGATCTTCTTTACAGTAGAGATCTACACTGCGCCTAAAAAATGAGGCACAGACGACGCTGATGGCCAGATAACGATGGAGATGGTCACCGGCTAAAGCTTTCTCGATCGGCGGTGTGGCCACTTCGCGCCCTTCTTACTCAGCAAGCGCAAAGCGGTCGCGCCACAAATGACCTCTCGGCGATCGCGCCATAGGCGACCTCTCCGGAACCGTACCTAACGATAACTGAAAAAAATTTTTTCGCTGACTTTTTTCTCGTATTTGTTGCTCTATAATATTTCTTAAAAAATATTGCTTCATTTGTGAACACTTGCCTAAGAACAACAAAAAGTTGAAAATACCACGAAAGAATATTTAATTAAGCAAGATGGAACTTAGGTTTAAGGTGAATTTATATTGTTATCATCACAATGAAATTCACTAAGCTTTGAGTTAGATCGATATATTATTAGGATAACTTATAATCAACTATTGATTACGATTTAGTTCAAAAATTGAACAAATTAGTATGAAATAGAGTAATAAAACAAACGATGTCTCAGAAAAAATGAGTCTTTAACAGTTGGTACCATTAAGGCGCGACCGCTTCCGCTAGGATGGTACACATCTCTGCTTTATAGTATTGGTCAAAAGTATAAGACAAACGCATTCTTGGTTTTTTTTTGTTGACGATACCAAGCAGTGAGTTCATATCCAAATATTGATTTGAATAGCCAGGAAAGTTTTCTATCAAATGCATTCCATACCAAAATTTCATAGATGAACTCTAAGAGAAAGGTAAATAAAATGAGAGCTTGTCGCATTTCCTAAAATGTTATAAGCATCACAAAGCGAAATTTATTATAGCATTGCTAAAGATCGGCTAGAAAACGCATTTTTTTTTAATGATGCTTACGACTTTTTAAGAGAAGGTTGTAGAAAATGCGGCAAGTCCTCATTTTAATCAGGATTTTGCACACTTTAATATAGAATTATTCATAGCCTTTTGGAACCTGAAAACTATCGTGTTTGGTTTTTCAGAAACCTTCCTCTGATAGTCCATCTATAAAATTTTGATATGGAATGCATTTGATACAGAATTTTATTGGCTATTCAAACTACTATTTGAATTTGTGTTCAATACTTGGTATTGAAGGAAAAAATGAAAAATACGTTGATCTTATGTTTTTGAGAAGTACTACAGTTGACGACTGGGTTTTTTTCCTACAATAAAATTGAATCTATGTTCTACAGTGAAACTTGTGTCAACAATTAATTGACATAGATAATTTCACAGTAATTATTGAATATTATCTGTTTTAATCCATTGTGTATGTTTACTCATTCGTTTCGTATATTAAATCAGAATTATCCTAGTTGAATATTGAGAAATTTATGTTTTATTTCACATATTACTCTAAGGAAAATCATTTGCATTCTGAACTCAAAACATTCAAAAAGTCATATAGTTTATAGTTGATCTCTGATAAAATATCTAACGAGAAATATCTTCTCTTTCCGTATACACTATAAAACATTACAACTGGTGTAATGGGAAATATATTATCGTAAAATTTTTTTTTAATAAAATTCCCTCGTCTTCAATAAAAGACAGATCTATTATATTTTATTTTTTTTTTTGTTTAGCTCGTCAACCTGGTCCAGAAGTTGCTGAACAATTATCTATATATCAAGAAACATTGAAAGCTAAAACAAAACAACTTAAATCATTAGCAAGTGAAGTAAATATGTATGAAAGTCAAATAGATGAATATAAATATGAAATTGATAAACTTAATAAACAATTAACTGAAGTACGACAAAAATATTTTCTTCAAAAAAAGAAAGAATCAATAGCAAAAGAAAAAGAACGTCTATCACAAATGCAACAACTTTCAACAACAATCAATGGTATTACATTACAACAACCACCAGCTGATCTTATTCAACCAAATCGATCAAGGTAAAAGATGAAAATAATTTTCAAATTCTTAAATAATTTTAATTTTTATCTTCTTTTCAGTGATCAAGCACGTTTTACTGGTGGTGGCTTCAATCTCAAATCTACACCCAAACCTTCGGGTGTTAGTGCTTAGCTTTTTTTTTTAAATTAACTTCTCAAATACATATAATATAAACCTTTATTTTCAGTTTACATTTTTAAATGATTTAAATAAATTGAACAGATAACCTGACATACAAAAGTAATTACCAAAGTCTTCAGCCATTGTTCTCCAACCACGAACATAATAGATAGTCAATAATTTTATTATTCAAAAGAAAAAGCTACTAGTACAATCTCTGCTGGTGTTAAAATATAAAAGACCATATAGTTGCTGTTGTTAATCACAAGAAGATTGTTTTATTCGATCTATTTTGAGACACATTGCTTCATCATCGAGAAACACAATGCGGAAGTAGTTCATATGTTCTGACGAGATTTTATTGATATAAGGTCTATGATGAGCTACTCTTCACGTGTCTGTCTTCTCTAGAATAAATTCAAGAAGAAGAAAAAGCTGAAACTAATATAATTCTAAAAAAATAGATTTTGCAATGGTTTTATTTTTTGGGAACTTGAAGAGTGTGTATTTCTCAATAATTTTAGTTTTACTCTTTAACTATAAAAGTTTGAAAAATAAAAATTTTTCTACAATGACAAGACTGTTTTTCATAAAGTATCAATTTGAAAGAATATCAATCACCATTTATGGAAATTACACAAGAACTAAATCACTTTTGTATTCTTTCTTTGAAGTATATTCCATTAGAGAAACTTAACACAAAAAAATTTTTCTAAAACCATTGTTTACCTAAACTAAACTTGTAGATAATTAGTAAGAAAGATCAAATTATTCAGCCTCTTTAAGAAAAGTAATATTGAGGTATAAAAGTCAAGAGAAAGTATACTCTTTAATACACAATTAGAAAAAGCATTCTAAATCTCCTTTGTGATTCAAAAATCGCTTTTGGACCAAGTACATTCAAGGATTTATTAGGACTGTAGTGGAGACGGTAAAGGTAAAGCTTTCAACCCGATACTATGACGTTTTCAGGGAGATATTAACCAAACAAAGAACAAGAATAATACATTCTCTCTGAATTCTTATTAGAAGCATTTAGTTTTTCTTTCATATGAAAGTGCATGCAAAATTGAAAGGTGTGGCACAGTCTTTTTTTTCTAGTGCTTACTTTTTATGTGCAGAAAAAAAGGAACAAGTTCAATACTCTAAAAAAGTTTCTAAAAATCGAGATCGATTTTATAGAAGTAGTTTTATGTATATATATATATACATATTAAAAATGATGTTTAATTCTAAAAATGGGCTGTATTAGACTCTGCAGATTAAGTATGTTCTTCCAAACAAAAAAGAAATTGATTAGCCATAAAGAAGCTCCTTCGAGCGAGCATTCTGGAATGTATTATCAAAAAAGAAAAACTTCACAATATTTGAATATTGATAACTCGTTGCGTTATACGTCGAATAGTAAATTTCTCTTGAACATTGCAAAAGTTTTTAGTCGTTTTCGAAGCTTAGCAAAACTTGTTAGGGTGCTTTTAATCCATTAGCCATCGAAAAAAGATACCAATATATATAACAAAGTGGCTTTACACTATGCAAATTTTCGTTTCTTAACCCATGAATCTAATATAAGTCGTACAATAATGATGGTCTAGAAAACTTCTGTTGTTCGACATTTGCTTCTACGCAAATGTATTGAAAAAAAATACATTATAAGTGATTACATCAATTTCACATGACGATAAAAGTCATGACGCATATATACATCGCCGGAATACTAGAAGGTTAAAATTAGTTAAACTTGCTTTTTGCTTTCCTTTATACATCTATGCTTCTAAAAAATCTATTGTTTTAGAGAGAATTCGATAGAAATTATCAAAAATTATAATAAAAAAAATGGAATATCAACCAATAAATTATGTTGATTGTGAAAGATCAGATGGCAAGCAATTGAACTATGCATTTATCTCAATTTGGACTTTTTTCCTAGTGGAGAGGGTCGACTTTGTCCTGCATAAATCATCCTTTTTTTAATACTCCAGGTGAATAATGTACGGTCAGTTAGCCCCTAAAAATGGTAGAAACTTGAAATCAGGAATCTGTTGATTGGATTGATCCAGTTCCAGCTGCTGGAATCATTCATCTGGATCAACACAATAAAAGTAAATAGAAGATGATGCAGTTTGATGGTGCAAAAAAAGAACATTTTTTCAAAAGTTTACTGATTTGATCTATTTATTTTTTCTCAAATTCATTCTGAATAAATATATCTGAAATGAAATTTGTAATTTAGATATTATTCTTTTAAATAATAAGAAGAAGAAGAAGAAGAATGGACTTTTTGTCAATCTGTGAATTGCAGAACTATAACTGAAGGTTTCAGCTATATCTATTACTATACAATAACTTTAATATAATACTTGTGTTCGGCTAGTAGTTTTAAACTAACATTGAGGACAAACAACCATAACATTCTATAGTTTACGCACTATTGCATGTGTTGCTAATGTCATGACTCCACCTCTATACGTTCTTTTATCCTTACTATTATATTTCTTCGTCGACATTGAACGATGACTTACTTTATTACCAAACTCTCAAAAACTAACAAAGAATTCATTGATTGTTTATCTAACAAACATAAAAAAGTTGATAAATAAATTATTTTCATTATAAATACTATGAGTACAAACAGACTGAGGATTTTTTTTTAGTCGATCAAGTATTTATTTAATTGACTACTTGCTTTTCTTCAATCTAATGCATCAAATGCAATCATTTTTTTTTTGTTATTAATAAAAAAATTCGCTTGCAATAACAAAACATTTTTTTTCATTGTTTTTGTTTTGAGAAAAAAATGAAAATAACAATCCAAGAGCGAGAGAAATATAAGTATAGATATTTTTTTGTTTTTTTTCTTTTTGTAAAAAGTATAATCAATTGATCCAGTGAAAATGCCAAGCAAACGGCCAATTAAAGCTTTTTATGTTCCTAAGAAAAATACAAAACTAAATATCTCACAAAAACGAACTACTCATCCTTCTTTACACAATACTCGTAGTTCGCCAGTAGTTCCATTATATGATGTGATTAATGAAATTGATTCTAATGATCCAGCATCGTATCCACAATTTGGACGAATATCACAATTGTCAAATTTTAGTCAACGAGAACCCACATGGAATTCATCAACAAAAGAATCATCTGAAGGTTCATCTTTATCGAGAAATGATATTGAAGATAAAGAAACCAATGGAGAAAAAGGAGAAACTTACAAAATATGGTTATTGATCATTGGTGGTCTATTAATTACTGCTTGTTTAATTACAATAATTGCCTTGCTGGGTGTTATGATTAACAATAAGAGCAAAGGTAATATCATGTTGACTTCTGAATAACAAATAACATTTAAAACAAAACTATACTATAATATCAAAATGCTTTAAGTGTAAAAGAAAAAAAAAATGTTCTATTTTTCATTATATCACAATAACACAATAGTAGACAGTTTAATAATGCCTACATCAGAGATGTTTATCGTGACTACAAATCTGGCACTGGCACGGTGCGGCCCTCGAAGAAACAAGGCTATCGCGACGTGGTGAAGTATATAAAAAATTGTCACTGCCGCGATAACTTCAAGAATCTCTTCCATCACTGTGTTAAATTAACCCAATTAGATTGAATCTATCGGATTCACAATGGTTCTAATTGTTGGACTTGTAAACACTCAAATCAGATACAAAGTCATGCAATTTTAAAATTTACCTAAAAAAAGAAGCTGCTGCGACAGTATTTTTAAAACATGTTCCACTCTGCTATCGCGCTTCTGACGTCGCCCGGGTGACGGCGCGACAACGGAAGATTTTCAGCCACGATGAACATCTCCGACTTACATGAATCTGCTATTGTGTTATTGCGTATTTTACATTCAAAAATGCATTAGAACTTGAATTAATTCTATTTCGATTTCTTTCTAGTGACAACAACATCAACTACTACCAGTACGACTTCTACTTCAACTACATCGACTACGGCGACTACATCAACTACATCGACGACGACTACAACTACTACGACGACCACAACGACAACCAAAACCACTACGACTACATCAACTACGACGACGACAACTAAGACCACGACGACTACATCAACTAAGACCACAACAACTACATCAACTACAACGACGACAACTAAGACCACAACAACCACATCAACCACTACAACAACTACAACAGAGACTACGACAACCACATCGGAGACTACAACAACTACCGTAGAGGCTACAACAACCCCAACGGAGACTACGACAACCATAACGGAGACTACAACAACCACGGCAGAGACTACGACGGAGATGATAACAGGAATTACGACAACCACGGCAGAGACTACAACAGCCACGACAGAGACTACGACAGAGATAACGACGACGATGACCACCACGGCAGAAGGTAAAAATAACTATTTTCTAAGTCATACTTATGGTTCAGTTACACTGATATTTTCTATTTTAAAATTACATATATCCTTTTTGTTAACAAAAAATATGATGAAACTTAATGTCAGAAACTAAATTATAATCTTTTGATTTAATGAAAAGAATATAGATTCCTGTTGAAAATAAATCTAGAATTGTTCAATTTTTAACTAGATATTTATACTTTATTTGTTTATCTATTTAAGTTACAACAGGACTTTCAAATGATCCAATGAGTGAGTTCTTCGATTGAACCGGAATAAATCATATCTATTCATATAATTAATTTTTTTTAGTGACTACCGGAGTATAATGACAAAAACATAGATAATAGCATCTATCGTCATTCATTCATTCATTCATTCAACAATAAACTTAACAATGAATACGATAACAGACATTATAGTGACATCAACATATTACTTTACTAGCATCAGTAGTGGAACAAATTCAAGTTTCAAATCATGAGAATTTCTTCTTATATTCTTGAAATAAATAAATATATAAATATATATTGACAATATTGATAAATGTAGTTAAAATCATGACAAGTTGTTTACGAAATCTATTGTTGTGTTGTGTAAGTACTATTTCACAATTCGTTGGAGAATAAAAACTTGTAAACTATAAAATAAATTTTAAATTACATATTACAAAAAAAAAAGATTTTTTTTTATTCAACATCATCAGTTGTTATAATAATTTTGTTATAGCATTGGTTCATTATTTAATCAGAATACATTTTATAATTGATTGTATTCAAGTAGAATAACAACACTTAGATTAATCCGTTCAATGAATGAGTCAATCATTGAAAATTTTCATTGTAATAAGTTGTTGTCTTAATCTGTTGACGGTAGACTTTTTTTTTTGTCATAAAGAAAAATGAAATTGTGTTGTCAAAATTAATTATACTTTGAAAATTATTAATGATCATGATTGTTACACTTGGACTTCATCTAAAGATGCAATTGATTCATTTTGAAATGAAAAAAAGGATGTGGGTGAAAAGAAGACTCGTCTACATCTTTCTCAGCTAATTCATAAATGCGTACAACTATATTATTCTTTTCACTATATAAAATTTTATTTTTATATTGAAAAATAGAATAACCTAAAAATATGAAAGATTATTTATATTTTACGTTGTTTTTCATCATAGATTAAAATTGTCTTATAAAATAATGCCTTTGTAGAATAGTGATAAAAATAAAACAAAGAATATTTTTGAAATAATATATTGATTGAAAATCTTTGATGTACCAGAAATACAAATAGCAAATGTCTGTGAATAGATATGATTACAATCAAGAGGATAAATCATTCTACATAATGTAATACATTCTCCATCATCCATGCACAATGGAATAGAAAAATCAGGTTTTTGAATAAGATTACACGCTAATCCAATACAACATGAACAAGAACATCGATCTTCAATTGCTGTTGAAATATTTATAAATTGGAAAGTTAAAGAAAAGAGTATTGTTGTTGTTATCATTTCCCTATGATAAGAAAAAATTCAAGCTTCTTATATAAAATAATACAAAACTTACGATAAGAATTTCACATCATTAATTCATATTGAAAATGAAAAAAAAAAAGGTAATGTTAATAATAGTCGATGCATTGATAAGTGATATAAAATGATTATTTGCTTAGAAGTTTAATCGTTCTTTTGTATGCGTATTAGAATTTCATTGGCAACTATGTCATAGATATTCACTAGTTGCATTTCTAGATGATTCAAAATTAAGATAAGTAGAAGTACAAGGAAGAAAATTCATTCTTTATAAAACAACGGAATAAAAAAAAACATATCTGTCTAAAAATTTAATTATCTTTGCCTCTATTAATAATACAACAACAGTAAGTACTGAAGATAATGTCAATATTATAATACATGAGTCAGATCTATCATTTGGATATGATAAATTATGAATGAAACTGTTTCAAAGATCAATATCAATACTTAACTAGTTATTGTACCCGACAAATTATGTCACAAATAATTTTGATCATGTTGGGCATTGTCTAGATAGCTTCAGATGAACTTGGAATATTTAGAATCAGAGATTGCTAAACCATAACTTAAGGCCTTCCATTCAAAAATCGATCTCACCCCAGGTACATTCAAATCGTAGGAAATTTTCAGGGTATGTTGAGGCTGTAGTGGAGCGGGGAAAATGGCGGAATGACAATGTGTTCAAGTCTCAGCTCCCATAACACCATGTTTATATAATTTCGTTCTGTTCTACAAGTCTCAAGCAACCTGTTTGTTGATGATCGATGCATTCTTCTTGTATATTAAGGTGATTCAACACTGCAAACCATCGTTCATGGCTCATATTATATTTACTCATTGTTTTATGTACTTTGCTGTAATTGCTTCCTTTCATTCTTCATAAATTACTTGCAATTAGCACTATGTCTCTTCAAACCCTATCATAGGTAAAGGGTTAAATAAAATCGCAAATAAGTAGTTCAGTTATGTATAACGACACGTTTCAATGATATTTCATTTGAGCTATTACAACATCCATCTAATATAATGAAGATTCTTATAATATTATTATTGATCATCATGTCTTTCAGTTATCTTTATTTCTTATTTCTGTTCTTCTAAAATCTTATACAGTTCGATTCGAAGAATTTCATCGGAGGATAAATTTATCAATCGGATTTATCTTTATTCAGAAATATTCTGTTCAATTGCCACTTTTTTTTCACCCTTACATCTTTAGTACAAATTTTGAAATTCCATCAATAAGAAGAAATTACTTCACAAGAACATATCAATTCAATGCATAATAATATTACGTGCCATTTCATAATCAATTAGTATACTGTTTATTATTGTTACTGAAAAATATTCATATAAAAAATATTGTAAAAACTCTTTTATCATTATTGACACTCAACTGATTATACTTCACATGCTTTCAACATGTCATTTTAATCATACTTAAATCAATAGAAATGCATGTGGTTGAAACCGAGAATGTTGTTATTTAAATTCAAATAGTATAACTTCTATGATTCGATTTTTATTTGTAATAAACAAACTTTTTATAATAGTTACAAATAGAATTGTGCACTTGTTAAAATAAATTTATCATAATAATCATCATTCAATAGTATAATCTTCATCATTTAGTAATTAATTTAATTGTATAATAAAAATGTGTTTAGTCTAGATTTACATCTGTTCAATAATGAACTTTTTCATAATAATTATTCTTAACATGTTTTCTTTGAAAATATCAAATATGCATTTGAATTTCATAATGGATAGAACACTTTATTGTCCTCATAATTTCATTATTTTTGTGTATGTGATAAAGATTATAGAGTTGAATATTTGATTTTATACTAATTTATTAAATAGATATATTGAACAATGTAGGTTTATGGTGATTTAAATAGTTCTAGAGATTTTATTTTGTTTATGACTGCATTATCATTATGATGAAAGTGTTTTGTCAAAATAATATACAATCAAAAAGTTTTACATAAGTTGAATATCTTCAGTCTTTTTTTTCCTAATTCATGTTCAGCTGTTAGAAGAATATTATCATAAAATAATCTAGAAACATATATTAATGCATCAGAACTATTTATTCGAATATTATTCGATGAAACTTCAATAAAAGTATGATATTCGTGATCAGTACGATGAGATGAGTTTCATAAGATTGAATACCAAGCTTTTGAATGAAAAATGAAAAGTTGTTTTTGCCTCCTGAAGGTTACCTTACACATAAAAATTCGTGAAGTAAAGTTTCAAAAGAAGTGTAGTGGGAAGCGACAAAAGTAAAATTCCGTGTAGAATTGCAGAAAGCTTTGCACCATTCCAATGAGTAAGTTGGAACAACTTAAAAGAGAATATTATTTCTTTATTTTGAAGACGCAAATATAGAAAAAGTTTTTCACTGTCACATGAATCAAGCGAAAGCAAATCATCAATGAGAAATTAGGTTGAAACAGGTGTAATCTTATTTTTACCCTTAGATACATGAGAAACCTTAGCAGATGAACCGTTAGCTCGATCATTAGTAGGATTCTGTGATTCTTTTTCACTTTCATTCGGTTCTTCATCAATATTGAATAGACAACCTGCTAACCCAGTGATGAAGCAGTTAATGCAGACGATATAGGCCAAGACGGAAAAAGACACCTTGATTGCAGGAGCTAAAACGATCATTGTAATAAAAGTAAGAATTGAAAGCAATAGTATTGCAAATGCGACACCAGTATGTGCTTGAAACATAAATGCAAAGAGTGTACCAATCACGGCTAGAATTCCACCACATACACCAATTTGATTAATAACTCGGCTAACTGTATTTCTTTTGATGACCCATCCATAACACCATGCATTTGTTCCATTAATGGGCATAGTTGGAATAACGTTCGGTGTACAGTTAAACGAACTTGCCGTAGGAATACTTGAAGAATTGTCGAAAACAAAACAAGTCATTGGATCGCTAGGGCACTCATCACCTGGATAAAGACCTGCACTAGCTAGAATACATCCTTCGAAAAGAGCCATCAGTGCCATTGATAAAGTTACAGCACCAATAAAAGTAAGAAAATGTTGATTAGCTCCTGGAGCGTGTGATTTGACTGTTCGATCATCAATTGTTATTTCAAAACGACCAACTTTCTTTCCATTCTTACTTTCAGCGTTGCCACTGTTCTTCCCGGGTTCGTAAGTAACTTTGATGCCAAAAAGACGAGCATTGAGAAAGCTGTAAATACGGGGAGCGAACCGTGAACATATATCAAGAATCACTGTTGATAATATGAGTATGGCAATTCCAATACACACATGAATTGCTATGTAATGTCCGAATTCCAGTGCCATGAGTGTCAAAAAATGCTATGAATTCGATATTGTTCGAATGCAAAGGTGAACGTATGTAACTGTCTATAGTCTATCGAAACACAAGAGTAAGTATGATTCGAAATTATAAATATATATAGCTTTGTTGACGCTTTATTTTCAATTATTGTGTGAATTTTCCATGTTTTTTTTGCTTTCAAATCAATCCGTCTCTATTGGTAACGATGCTTCGAATGTTGAAAAAGCAGCTTGTAGGTAGACATCATCGATGAAATCCAATTTGGTATTTTAGATTTTTTCCCATTGTGGTCGACATTACTACCGTTGAAATATTATTTATAGAAAGAGAAAACATACATAAATGAATTGCTGAAAGACAGATTGATTCATATGTAAACAAACGAGTCCCACAAAGAGAAAAAGATCATAGTTCGAACTGAATGAAAAAAAGTACAATTGTGGACAAAAGGGCAAAATCTATTATTATCGAGTATTGTTTTATTGACACTTGGAAATCCATTTTTATTTCATTATCGAAAACGTATGTCAAGGACTGAAAGCTAATGATCTTTTTTGAGCACATTTATGAAAAGAAGTATAGCGTGTGAAAAAAAAGCGAAACTTACGAGAACAGGAACCAAATATCATAAGATCTTTTGACTCTATTACTTCATAAGTTGTCCTCCTTACGAATTACTCTTTCCGATGAAGAGCTATGACTACTATTTCCTACCACAATCTATTACTACATGGCTGGAATAGACGTGGATCAGCAGTTGAATGTGAGTGCAGGTGCTTGATCGTGTTTGACGGTGTCAGATTAGCATTATTTTTAATGCTAATACATATGTTACCTGCAACTATACTTCTGAAACTTCATATTTCAAAGTTTCAGATAACAGATCAAAGAGTTTTTCAACAGAAATTCCTATCTTAAAAATAGAACAAAATTTTTCAATTTTGAGAATTTCTCAGCTTAAAAGGAAACTGCATCCTCTAAGACACTGGCCATGTTGTGGCCAATGTGAATTCGATCCCAAGCTTTTTACATTGAGTAATTTAATGTCAAAAGATGCGTCCTGAAGAGATATATGTCTGGTAAAAAAACGATAGTACCACCTGCACCATACAAGAAAAATCTTAAATGCTGCTTCGTCAGAAGGATGCATTTTCGAATTTTTGACAGTTTTCTAACTTAGATAATTTTCTTTACTTCTTATATTAGTCATTAAAATAAAATGAATTTGTAGTCGGTACTGTTCTTTATCTAACGAGGCTTCCACAAACTTCAAATATCTGAGCATTTCTGAGATAATGCCAAAATACTAAACACACTAATTTTTAGAGATTATTAAGTGTCACAATATAGATCAATTATACTGGTTTTAGCTAGTATTTGTCACATGCGTAACCAAATGGTCTAATGTTTTTGGATTTCATTGTGATTCGACTAGACTTCTCATTTTAGATAACTAAATCAAAAATAAAAAGCATTTCTCCGATGGCCATGTGACAAAGTGAAAATATTACATAACAAAATTGACTCAATATTTTGGACGTATCAAAAACGGTGGGAATTCTGTACTATCAGGATTGTAGAGCATGTGACGCTCAATCGATTACACAATACTACTATATCAAGCTATTCGATATTTTGAAATAATTGTGGACGCAAGATAGCACCGCAATTTTGTGTGGTCGTTGATCAGTCAGAACATATTTGAGATTCTTTCCTTTTCTACTTCAAGCCAAGTTTAGTATAGTCAGATATGTATCACCATGAAGAATCCGAATATGATCTTGGAATTTATTTTTGACTTTGTTTCAATGTACAAATTTGGCTAAAACAATTGAAGAATATGGAGCACAAAAACCGGTTTTTTTTGCGAATTTTTAATTTTAAGTATTTAAAGTATTTTCGGTGTAACTCCGTCAAAATGAAAGCTTTTCAAAAAAATTTTCTAATCAAAATCCTTAGAATTAATAGGTTTACAAATTGGGTGTGAGTGTGGGGGTAAGTAGGGGAGAAAAACCCACACTCCACACCCGTAAAGTTGTAAACCTTGGTATCAATCATTATTTGATTTTAGTCATTGGTCATCAAATCCATAATTACAAATACATCAAATTTTGTGTACCTGAAATATATTATTTTGATTTGAAAAAGACTAAATATTTAGACATGGTGATAGATAAAGACAACCACATAGGAAACAGTTGAGAAGCTTCTTTTCTTTTGTTTTAGATAATGAACAATAAAAAGAATTCAAAACAATGATTCTTATTATTCATAAAATATGTAGATTAAAAGAACTAGGTCACAAGAACAAGAACATATGTAGAATAGCTGAAGAGAAAAGAAAAGAAGAATAAAAGTGATTTACTCCATAATCATTTCAATTTTTTGTACTGATCCTTTAATATAATCGACTGTAAATAAATTATTTTTACTGATCAATCACTAGCTCCACTAATTTTACAATTATTGCATTTACTGACCATTTCATTTATTTTGTTGACCATAAATCATAGTCCCTTTAATTTTGTGTGTTATTATTTACATATAATATTGGATGTCAACCTAACGTTGTGCCATCTTATTATTAAATAATAAGCAAATTCACTACATTCTCACCTGCGAGATAATTTTCTCTGTAATATATATTGTTATTATTCATTCACTAAATTACACAATTGTATACGATAGAAAACTCTCAAGTATTGATCATGTAAAAAGAGTAATTTCATGTTTTTTTATTTTCTTTTTGATTGTTAACCAAATATGAAAGTAAGCTTTCATGTTTGATATTTTCACATGAACTAGTATGAGTATTATATGAAAAAACAATCAAAAACCGACAATGCTGAATTGAAAATTGCACACAAAAAAAAAACTTTTGTACTTAAATATTACACTTTCAACTTCTAGTCTTTGTTACAACTTCCTATTCTTATCGTTTTCATCAGATAGTTCCAATGGTATTATCATAGCTGGAGTTCTATGTAGTTTTCGATGTAGATGTCCATCAAGAAATTTCAATAATTCATGACGAAATTTCACAGATGAAAGTGAATATATATAAAATGCACCACTATCATGAAAAAACCATAGTACTCGTACTATAGACATGGTCAATCGTTCCCATGCTAATTTTTCAGAACTTTTCTGATGAGAAAGTGTTACTGTTCGATGTAACCTATGGATAGCGTATGGAAGTGTGAATATAATGGTACAAGCTGTTTGGACAAGTATCATCCGTTGAAAATCTCGAACACGATGACGTCTTAAATTTGATGGTCCATTTTGTTGATCAAACCACTGTCGTTGACGTATATTGTATATTGTAAGAAAACCAAATATACCCAATAGTACAGGAAAGATTAGTCCATGGAGAATAAGAAAACTAATATCATAACCTAATCGATAAGCAGAATGTTTTGGAGCCCAACATTCGTTGTCTCCATCTTCATGAATAACAAATAAGGCTAACATATGTGAATGATAAAGAGCTGAAATAATTAAAACAATTGGAATCAAACGTCGTGCAACTTTAATATTAGCCCATTGACGATATTTTACTTGAGAACATGATGAAACATAACGATCGGCAGAGGCAAGTGTGATTAGAGTTATTGATGCCAAAGAAGTTGAATATAAGAAAAACATACGTATTCGACACCACCAAAGAACTGATATTAGTATACCATAACCACTTTTTAACATACGAAATAATTGACCAAATAGAATTTGTATAATAGAAACACATGATGATGCAAGACAATAATTACAACATGAATTTGAAATAAGATTTTGTCGAGTAAATATAATTATATTAATTATATGACCAATAAGACCAAAAAACATCAAAGGAGGAAAAGTAGATCGATAGACATAAGTAGTGGTTGTATTAAGATGAATAACAGTTTGACTTGAGCTGTTAGACATCTTTATAAATGAAATTCAACTATGCATTTTATTTTATGATCAACCGTCAGTTGTAAATGTCAGCAAAAATATGTTGAATATTTACCATTCTATGGAATGTCACAGAAAATAAGTCTACATTGACAAATCTACTTCAATCACGTTAGGAATATATCAATAAAATTTCTCTTATCTCCTATCTTATTTGATAACATTTTTTTTTCACTAAAATTCTATTCACATACGATATGAGAAAAACACTGGTTGACATGATGTGCATAGTCAAAGTGTTAAACTTACTCGCATTGTGGATGTGGATGTAAAGCTGAATAGAAGACCCTGACATAGCCATACCTTTGGATTTCGAATTATCCAGTCAATATCCGTAATGCACAATAATCCCCATTATTTGATATATCTGTGCTATCATACCTCGATAGGCATACAATAACAAGTTTTAGCGAACATATTCGAAATTCCTTTGTGCATAATTTTGTTCAATGGTGTGAATAGTGAACGAATATAAAGGAAGTACAGAAAAACTATGAAAACTGATTTAGAACTTTTCATGCGAGAAGCAAGTCTCTACCATTAATTGATGTAACGAACAACGGCACGTGTTTGGTTTGTTACTAACACAAATTATCAAGCACTAAGTCAATCAAAGTAAATTAGTAAAATGAATGACTATTATCCATTTCAAAATATAATGTGCTCCACTGTTTTTTGAATAACTCGAGAACGCAAACAGCTAGAGATCTGCGGTTTTCACAAATCGAAAGAGGAGACGAGAGCACGTCTTTTCCTCCAATATTGTATAAGACGAAATCATTTTAAAATCAGTCATTTTTGCAAGACATCGAAAAAAATGTACAAAGACAATCTGTCATTCAGATGAAATTTTGACAATAAGAAAATTTGCTTAAAAATCAAAAGAATTCCATAATTTTTACGCGAGCAAATAGACGACTTTATTTGCTCAACGTTAGGATAGAGGAAGATAATCATTCCAATTAGATCTTCAATTATTGATCTGAAGTTCTTCTCTATAGATCACATGCCAAAATCAAAATTTCATCGAAATGATAGATCGTTTTCGTGCACCTTTTGTCGTGTTTTGCAGAAATTACTGGCTTTAAAATGACTTTCGTCTTATACAATATTGGAGAAAAAGACGTGCCCCCGTCTCCTCTTTCGATTGATGAAAACCACAGATCTCTAGCTGTTTGCGTTCTCAAGTTATTGATAAAACACTGGAGCACATTATATTTTGAAATGGACAATAGTTCGAGTACTCCCATTTAGCATTGTATGATTGATATTTACCGTTTCTAATGTAGGTTGTTTTCAATGCAGATGTTGATGATTACTGGCAACAAGTAATAAATTATTACTGTAATAAAGTAATAACAAAATAATAGTTACTATGTGACATAGTTAAATAAAATTGGGGATGCAACAAATCCTGTATTTTTTGCAAAATGATTGAAAATTTTCTATATGAAAATCCCACAAACCCAGCTAAGTCTTTGTGTCGGCTATAACCAGTTTCATTCACTCTATCCGATACTGGTGTTTATTTACCAAATCTGATAAGGGATTTGGTGAATTTATGCACATTTTTCGCCAAATTTTTATCAAATCTCTTATGGGATTTGGTAAATAAATACCAGTATCGGAAAGAGTGAATGAAACTGATTATAACTGACATCAAGATTTGGGTGAATCTGTGAGCTTTTCATATTGAAAATTTAAAACCTTTTCGCAAATAAAACAGACAAGGTACTGGTACATGAATGCTATTTATTTTGGTCGAATTTTGTTCTGTGAATTTTCTCAGAAATGCTAAATGCATAAGAAAATAGGCTAGTTTATTAATAATGCACAAATATTGAGAGATCTTGAAAGTGAATCAAACCTGCTAATCGAGGAATTTGACTGACTCCATATAGAAATTATAGGCCAATAAAATTTGAGTCCATATTTTACATATAGTACAGGTACATTAGTTATTCCGCTGTTGAAATCTCATTGTCAGAACAGAAGTATTCTGTTTGGGGGAATAATTTCCCAAAAGCAGAACAATTGTCTTTTGACAATGGGAAGAATCCCCCCAAACTGGACATTTTTGTTCTGATGATAAGGAATATTCCTGTATAAGAGAACATTTTTGTTCTGTTTCGAAAATTGGCTTGTAAATGCAGAACACTATTATATCCTTTTTGGAAACTGAAAAGAGTGATTAGTAACGTTCTCACTTTAAAGATAAAGTTTAGACTCATGGATTGGAGTTTGATTCATGTTGATTTTAGTCCAGTTCATGCGACCACACTGAAAACAATCTATACTGGAATAAATAAATAAAAATTGTCTCAGTAATTTCATGCAACAGTGCCAATCTAATCGATGACTAGAAGTATTTTTACTATCTTATATGTGCATTACTTATTCCTTTATTACTTATTTGAGTTTATTACTTATTATTGATAATTAGTAACAAGATTTATTGATTTATTACTTTTACCAGCTATTACCGTATTACTTATTATTATTATTACTTTTATTACTGTGTAAAATTCTTACTGATTACCAGTAATAAGTAATAACGTTATTAATTATAGCTTATTACTGGTAATGATAATGTGACATCCCTACTCTTTTGGATTCTATTGAATTTGAAACATATTGGAGCACTATGTGATTCATCTTTCAACATGTCATAGCTGTTTCAGAATCTATCAAGAAATAAAAACTTTTTAAGCAAATCGTTTGCTATTCAACAGTACATTTTCATAAACAATGTTAGTTAAAATGAGTATTTTGGTTTGTTCCAGACTAGTACGCTATCTTGTTCTTGTTCAAATTGAAGAAGACTCACAACATCAACTTTAGTATATTATGATGTTCACGGATAAATCGGTTTTTATGAAATGAACACAAGCAATTCATTTTATGGTGAAAACAAACAGCGTGCATTATAAAGAATAGCAATCAAGCTCAAAATAGTGAGCATAAATAATCAGTAACAATTAAGTATAAGCAAGAATTTTTTATTAAAAACAGATGTATTACAGCTACTTACAAGCTACTATACAAACGTTGTATCATATGAGCTAGTCTTTCTTTCCATGAGCAAAAACATAGTCCAAACAGTTGCTTAATTTGTTCCAAACAAATCCTATTAATGAAGAAAAGATAAATAATTGTGTTAAATGAATACGAAATAGAGAAATACAGCATTCATTTACACTTATGTCATGTATTGAAGGGAAAAAAGCGGATCTCAAGATCCACCAGGATCCATCGAGCAATGAGAAAAGCAGATCTCAGGATCCACCAAGATCCAATGGGATCCGACGATTTAGGATCCTTTTTTCCCTCTTACATGTATCTAAATCAATTTTCTCTGTGTTGAAAATTAATTAATTGAGTAGATTCATCCAGAAATTGTTTGCTAAAATAGCTGATCATGTTCTAGAGTTTTGCAAAATCTGTCTACTGATTTTTCTAAACGTCAAATTCACTTACTATTATTTTTCGAAACTGAATTGGTAAAAAAATTTCCAAGTTGTATTCTTTAGATCAGAAACGAAAAAGATATGTCAGTAAATTCAACACTTTTTGAATGCAAGTCTACACGAACAAAAAGTTTCAGTTCTTATTAATCAATTCTAGTTAGGATGAAAATAACAAAAGCTAACTAACGGCAGAAGTACTCCTCCCCCTCCACTAATTTGAAAGTTTTGAAGCAGTATTTTGTCAAGTAGTAGGATTTTATGACATTAGAAAAAGTCCAAAAAGGTATGGAGATATATCTTCCTTCCAGAACTATGACCAATTTTACTGTGTTTGTCGTGCTATCGGAAGGTATCTATAAGAAAATCGAATAAGAGGATTTCGACCTGAAATTTTAATCAGAGCTAAGTCTCATTATCTCTATAATGCATCAAAACTTTCAACGAAAATGAATGTTCTCTTCTTGAGATAATGAATTTGTAAGAACATATATATACTTCACCGAGAGTTCGGAAAAACCTAGTTCTTTAGTACATTCACTATGTCGAGAGGAAGAGTTCTTTTTTCATTAAAACTTTTAACACACTGAAGGACAATGCGACTTACTTATGAGAAAAGTTTCAGATCAAAACTGTTATTTGATTTTCTCATAAGTAATTTTTCTATAGGCTGAAAATTAAGTGAAGTCATCATAGTTCCGATACGATGACGTATGGACCCGTATTCTTTTGCACTTTTCTAGTGTAATCAGATCCTACTTATGGACAAAATACTACTTCGAAAGCTTTTAATCACTTAAGGTAGCTTTCTGGTTAGATTAAGAAAACCGTTTTCAAGAACGCTCTAATGTTTTTTCAAGTTCTAACCATAAACTGTTTCTTATGTAGATGAAAATCATCGGATTCAAAAAGCTTTTATCTAACAAAAATTATAAATAACGTTCTGCTAATAATGAAGGACAATTTTCAGAAAATGTCGTAAAACAACTCAATGAACAAGGGCCACATTTTGATATTAAACCGAGTGATGGAAAGACGAGGGCTAATTGGATCAGGTATTGAAATTATCATTTCAGCGTAATGGACAATAATGAATATTTTTAAAACATAAAATCATTTTAATTTTATTTTTTAATAAAGACGGTCCATATAGAAAAAGACAAGTGACAAAGACTTTATAGGCCTCTTATATTGAAGTTGTGCTCTTTTATAAGACAATATATATACGTACCAAACTTTTTCAATTTTTCAGTTTTACATTGATTAGATAATAATTGCAGCTCGACGTCGGATGCTACGAAAACATGATAAACTAAGTTGATTAAAGAGCAAGAAAGAAAATTATTTACGTGCAAGCGCTATTGAATCTTGAATATCAATCTGTGCACGTTCATAATTCTTTAATTTAAAAAATGAAGTTGCTCGTTGTTTTAATGCAATAACACATGTAGCATCTTCATTAAGAGCTAATGTTGCCTCCTGTATTGCACCTAAAATGAGATGACAAACTGTTATGAATATGTCATTGAATCTAACAGAAGTCATAGAAAAACAACGAGTTTTTTGTTTCTCTCGTTCTAACCAGAGATAAAACCAATATTGGTTTAGTTTTTTATCAATCGATCGATCAGTTAATTCAACATCTAATTTATTTACTTCTTTGTTCAGGATAGACAAGACTGAATCTTTGTAAATTTTTTATCAATGTCAAATAAAAGAAATCAATGATTTATTCTCAGTCTTTTAATCAAAACAAACAGATTTTAGCCTTTTCTCCATTGACGGATTGTCTTCTTTTAATAACCATGCTCTGCCTAAAAAACGCTTCAAGTATAATAAAACGTTGGAAAGGGAAGTACAAAATGTTGAGAACCGGACATTTTTAATAACCAATTTAAAAAAAATGATTAAATTGATTGGTTTGGTTTTAAAATGATAGAAAATCAAAAAAAAATCTGTTTCTCCTTTGTCTTCTTCTTTATTTACTTGTGTATAAAAACTTACGTTCATAATATTGTAAATGATTACTACATTTAGCCATAGATGCAATTATTATTGATATTTGATGACGATTAAATTCATGTCGATACAAGTTTACTATATCTTCGTACATCTAAACATTAGCATAAATATATTCGATATTTGTGAAGGCAGAAAATACATACAGAATGTGCTTTGCTGTATTCTTCCATACGCATAGCTTCATCTGCTAATCGTAAGCGTTCAACAGACATATTAGTAAAAATTAATTGTTAAGAATAGCTATGAACAGTAGGCAAAAAGTAAACATATTTAATAAAATGTTATCTCATTTCGTATTTCGATAGAATTGTTACATATGATAATCAACATAAAAGATCAATCGAAACATGAGAAATTAAAAGAGTGACAGTCAAAGCTCATTGTTTTTTTTTAATTGTGGAATCGAGGATAAATACATCATTTTCCTATGGTTTTTTTATTAACTTTAAATTAAAAAATCAGTATAATTAGACAAACAAGAAAAATGAAAAGAATTGAGAGAGTCTCAAATATCGTTTGTTTTTATAATTAATATAGTAGAGTTTATCTTCTAAATATACGAACTATCATCTTTTAATAGTCAGACTCTGTCTACAAGCTTGAAGTACGAAAAAACATTTAAAATCGAGGCATAAAATGTTGAAAACAAGCATGTTTGGAATAAGTGATTTGTATTTTTTTTTCTGTTTAAAATTGATTAAAACTCAGAAAAATCAGTTGTTTCTTTCTTAAAGAACCTACGCTATTGTTCTTAATACCAGTTTTTAATTCGAATTAATTAATTTTTTTTGCTTTCATTTAACACTACAAACAAACAATTTTCGAAAACATGAACTTGTTAGTAGTAAGATGAGAATCTTTAATTGATTTTTTTGTGAAATAACTAAAAACTTTTCTCTATCGTCGATCTTTTTTGTTGATTTTATAGTCCTATTTCTTTTGTCTTATCCACTCACTATGTCTGGCATCTGACTAATTCTCTAATGAGATGCGTGAAATAGGTCCTTCTCGCAAACGATTTTATCGATTCATTAACAAGAATATAGAGGGAGACACTTATCGAGCAGTCATTTATTCATTGAAGATTTTTATGTTTGAACTCAGCAAATAGGAAAAATAAAAAACATTGATGTTTATTTCATACAAGGAATTTCAGCATATTTGTCGCGTCATAACAATGTTCTCTTTCTGAATGGGCATTTATTCCATACTTTTTTTAAAAATATGTTTATTCTTTTTTTTCTGTTGTACATTGTAACTGTAGATAATTCCGTTTCAAAAGAACGCATTATGGTGTTACGTTACATCTGCTCATTGTATAATTTATAATTTGAGCAATCTAATAGTAATCATAGGCTCGTAAGCTAAGAGAACAACTAGGATTTTAACGTTGGATGGCTTGTTATGAAGTTTAGCTAGGGTAAATTCGTTTGGTAGGGTACAAAGCTCTGATGAGACGCTCCGTTGCTTCTAGATACCCTTGATTAAGTTAAAAGACAGTGCAAAAATTTTGAACTCTCTTATTATATACAGTCTACGACAAAAGTTTAAGCGATATTAGTTTTTCAGTATTTTTGTTTCGCATTTTCGTTTTCAATTTTTTCCCCTTATTAAGACCACCCCTCTCAAAAAAAGTCAGTTTTCTTCAAAATGACCAAAATTGAGATAAAGACATGAGGAGATAGCCCATCATCTGCCCTTGCAAAAACCATAAAAGTTTTTGCTAAATCTGTTCATCATCAGGAAAATTTTCTATATTTTGTATATGGATCTTAGTTGACAATTCTCAAATCAAATGGTAGAATTTACCAAAGTCTTGAGAACAAACCTTTCAACCAGCCTATTCAAATGTCGAGATAATTAAGAACATATAATGAATATACAGCATTATTTATGTGATTTGAAAAGACCTTGAATAAGACTGAAACTTGCTGTGTTCTCTCTCGTGATCTTTCAATTTTTCCTGTCAACAAAACGACCGCGTTGATGAAAAGAAAATAAATCATATGCCAACTTCTATTCTAGATAAATCTATGTCTAAAGTGGTTACGGCTAATTTTTCAGTGAAAAAAAAACACCATCTCAGATGAAATCATCAGTTCCCAAATTGAATTTTGACGTCGCAAAATGGTACGCATAGAACTGAGTTATTGAAGGCAGAACAGAAAAGTGAATCAAACAAACATTGTTTGTGTTATCGAAAGAATTTGTCTCATACTATACTTGTGATTCACTGTAGGATTCCACGGGTACTGTACGAGTAGATATGTTGCCTTTGGATATTAACGAGAAGAGTCAAGTAAATAGTATTTTTAGATTAAACTGAGTTTCTGACATGAATAATAACACTCTTTCTAGTATGTGTTGCCATTTTCTCGCCGTTGTATTTTTCCTACTTTACCATGGTTTATTAATCAATCAGTACCCTTACAGTCACTGAATAGTCGTTTCACCTTTCAAAAAGATGCAATCAATATGGTTCCAAAAGAACTGGCGTTCCGTCACATCAGCGAAGCAAATGAACACTGGTATGAACTGAAACTTATGAAGTTTGCAATTACTCGACCTTTATCATATACTTATTCTTTTTTGTTAGGGAGAACATGCATCAATTTCCACGAACTTCTACACCAAACGATGACAGTTATTGAGAAGACACGGACAGTGATTCAACCATATTCACTTGGAACCCATGGGAGTCATACGATTGGAAAGCCCATTCATTCTTATTTCTGTGCGGTCTTGTCTGTAAATATCTCTTCCATTACTATTATTGTTAATCTATGTTTCTTTTTAATTTTGTGTGCATTTTTAAGCCAAAGTTAACAGGGAAAATTCAATTCATGAGTACCTTGGGACTCTTTTTAGGGCGCATTTATTTGCAAACAGATCTTAAGATTCCTATACCATCACGTATAATCTCTATCCTTTGTATATTTGAACATTATGGAAATTTATGGAACGTAGTGTTGGTCTTACCACTATTAATATTCAATTTACACTGCAAAAGATTCATATTTACTAACTAAAAACGAAGTCTACCAAAGAGTTATAGTAACAAGATTATGTTATCATGTTGTTTCGTCGTTGTAGATTTTAAATATATCTTGTGAAACACGATCTAAAAGACGTAGTGAAGCATATAGAGATAAAAATTTTGGACTCATCCCCGTGATCTCCTAGGTTGTGAATGTGGGAGGTGTGGGTGTGGGTCAAATGAAGAGTCAAACCTATGCTTAAAAAACGACTCACACCCACATTCTGCACCCTTTTGTATTCGATACTGAAGAGTATTCATTGTGTTCTTTCAGTTATATTTCGAATAAAAAAAAAAGGAGTATCGAAATTTTTTTGATGGAGGCTATTCTGTTTTATTTGTTTTAGTCTTTCCACATTATACTCTCATCTTAAATATCAAGAGATTTCCTATCTAACACGCTTTTCTGTAGAAAACAAATTTGATGATTGATTGAAGGTTGGATTCTGATACTTCTCTTAGCGGATTAGACTTGCTTTCAATTGAATATATATGTGTAATCTATCATGTAAAGTTTTTCTCAATAGAAGACCCTCTAAAAAATATATATATCATAAAAGAATGTTGTATCCGATCCATCAATGATACCAGAGTTAAGTACCGTTCTGATTTGAATTCACATGAAGCATATGTTGAGGCTTTTACTATGCATTTCTATTCAGTCATATATTCATTACTAGTTTAGCTCGTCTCTCGCATACGAAATGCATCTCTCACTCGAATTGACGCACATAGAAGATTTGTAGGTAAATCAGTAGAAATGGGAATGAATGTTTTCTTCTCATTTCATTTACTTTCGTTATCCCTCTACTTCTCTTCAATCAAGAGAATAAAGACGTCGAGAGAAGAACTATTCTATTCTACAGCATTCGGTTGCTCTATTATGATACTTTCCTTATGACGCAAGTTTTGTTAATATAACTTAAATAGGAGAAATATTAGAAAAGAAAAATTCATCATACAAATGTTGAAAACTTCTTTCTAAATTAATGAATCAATCTTATTCTTTCTTTACTGTTTGATTTTCAAACTTTTGCTATTTACGTCTATCATTACTCGTTTTCTAATCATCCCGTATACGCTATTGACAGGTGCATACTTGTTTTTTTGTTCTTCTCGTCGTTTCTTATTAATATTTTGCATCATACACGCACCTACACAGATGATGTTCGAATGAGGGTGTGGGTGTGGGTCTGGTTGTTCATATTATTATTCTATTGAGTCACACCCACACCCGAAATCATGAGGGTTTAGTACGAAACTATTAGGGTTTAATATGAAACTCTAAAGGTTTCGTATTTTCCTACGAAATCTTTTTCTGCTGTACGGAACTTAAAAAAAGGTTTCGCAGGAAAAGGTTCTTATCCTGGGTACACGGTAAGAACCTTTAAAGGTTTCGTAGATTTTTTTATCCTTTTTTTGAGACTTTGGACGCTTTTAGACATCTCCGGAACCTTTTTTGGGAGTTCGGTAAAAAACCGATTTTTTTTAGAGTGTAAGCTTGTCTTTATGGATATAAACCTTGAACATACCTCTATCATTGATAAAAAAATCAGCTCGTTTGCTTGAGCCATAATGGAGATATTCAACTATTTTTGATAAAGTGACTTTTGGTCCACCCTGTATTTTTTATCCAGAAAAGGGATCAAATCTCAGCAAATGGATATCAAGATAGTCATATACCCTTAAGGTACTTTCATTTTATGATGTTTCTAGAGTGGGGAAACTTCCATGAGCTTTTGATCAGACACTTTAATAAGCGTCATGAAAAAGAAAAATTTCTTGCTTCTAATCATTTGAAACCAATCGAGAATGATTAAATAGTTTATTATTAATTTTCCTCTTTTTTATAAATATATATAATGTTCGAATTATAGCAAATAAAAAATAAAAAATAGAAAATATGCATACACATAAGAATTGATTATAATCATTCAGAACAAAACAAAAAAAAAAGAACATATTTGTTATGTGTCAGAAGATCAAATATACTTATTATCTGATACATAAGAGATTTTTTTCCTTTGCTTTTTTTTTGGTAAATAAAGATAATAGATGCAAAAAAAGAGATTACTGTTTGTCAATTATTAGTTTTCTTCTCGCTTTATATAGATATTGTCCATGGAATAAAAATAAAAATAAATAAATGAAGTACAGAAAAACAAATTATTTTAATGATGTTTTTATTTCTTCCATGAGATTAGAAAGATAATGTGTGTCTGTTGATTTACTACCAATTAAAATATCAATTTGAGAATTCTAAATAAATAAAAATTATTTAGTTTGATTTTTAATAAAAATCTTAAAATAGAAATACTATTGATTTAAATAAAAGAGCTATTAGTTGTCCAAGTATTCTTTCAGCATATAAAGATGCAGCTGAATTAATTTTTTCGACAACTAAATTAAGAATTTGGACATAAAAAAAAATTTCAATTTTGTTTTCTAACCAGTTAATCAATAGGATTGACAAGTTTTATTAATTATCGATAGAAAATCTTGATTAGATGATGGAATACAAAGTTGTGATTGACATGTCAATGTACCCGAACTCATCAAATCAGCGAATACCATACTTTTAAAAAAATATATATATTCATGTTAAATAACCTAATAAAAAGAACTTATTCTTGCGAATCAATAGTCTTTCGTCGTAAATATCGTGAACAAGGCAAATTAAGTTTAAATTCAATTCGATCTGTTTCAATTGTATTTAATTTCTAAATATATTTATCAAAAATGAAGATAACAAGTAGTTTTTTTTTTATTTTTTCAATATACGTTTATAGAATAAGTTAATGTTGTTTTTAGTTTTTGAGAAAATGATATAGCATTTATTGAAAAGAATAAATATGAATATAATTTTGTGAATGAGGAAAAAGACTTATAGATGGAAATGATATTAAATTTGCATTTGTTATATTTAATAACTTCGAACTCATACTATGAATAACATGAATATTAATGTGATCAATAACAAATGATGTTCAATTTTTTAAAAGAAATGTTACATCAACTTGAGCTATTAATGGATCTGGATTGGTCAAATATTCCTAAAAATAAATTTATAACAGATTGTTTAAATACATATTCAGATGATTTCAATGGTAAAAAAAAGTAATATCTCCAACGTTGCTGTGAATTAGGGATGGACAAAGTTGGCTTTTTTTTTAGATTGAATCGGAATGGATCTTTTTGTTTGCGTAATAGTCATTTTAGTGAATTTCTCTTCAGATCATCTTCAAAATCAAGTTCTTGATAGGATTAATTCATTGTGAAAGTGTCAGAAACTTCCGAATATCTTCTATCTTGAGACATCAATATTGAAAATTCTGTTACGAAGACAAGCAAACTTCATCTTTCTATATCTCAAGATCGTAGATATTAGAAGTACTGACACTTTCATTCGAAGGTCAATTTTAAAGATGATCGGCTGAAGATTTTCTCTAATCTCAATAGAGTCTATCTGATAAGATAAGACTCATGTCAAAAACATTTTATCACTTAGCGAAGTTTCCTCATCTATTGTTAAACTAGGATAATTATTGAACTTACAATTGTCAAATTGTCAGATTGAGCAGCTAGTTTATAAGCATCTTATTCATTGTATTGTTGCTCAGATTGATTTGTTGAATGAATATCATCCATCATAATGTCCAATAGGAGTGGCGTAGAAGTATTTGTATCTAACATTGCTGTTGTTGTTTCTGATGATGATTTTTTTTCTTTAGTTTCTCTGCAGTAGCAGGAGGAGGCGGAGGTGTAGAAGTTGGACGATTTTCTTCTTCCTCAGCTGGTGATAACAATTCTTCATAATCACTACTTTCTCGTTTGTGTTTAGATTTCGATTTTGATGATTGTTCTTGTTTTTCAATTGTTTTCCTTTTCTTAGGTTTTTTTTGGGCTTTTCAGTTAATATAGGAAGTGTTTTAACTTGTTTAGGAACTGATTCTTTTAATTAAGATGTCAATGGTGGTAATGTAGGAATCGATTGAATAGGTTTTTCACTTAAGTCAATATTACGTGCTCGATGTAGATTATATTTTTTATTTTTTCCAACATGCACATCATGATCATTGTCTTCATTTCCACTTTCTGTAGCACCTTCTGGTGATTCATCATCACGTGTTATTTTGACAGTTGGATAAATATCATCATCATTATCATTAATTACTGCTATATCAGATTTTTTCGATGATTTCTTTCTTGTTTTTTGGTAATTCACCATCAGTTTTCGATTTTTTTTCTTTAAATGTCGATTTTCTTCATCAATTTTTGCTTGACGATATAATTGATCAGATAGTGTTAATTGTGAACTAGTAGCATTTGTTCCTTGTGATAATGTTAATTCAATACGAACATTACCATTTATAGTATTCGACGTTGTTTCAGTCTATAATATTAAAGATAAATTCAAGAATTGAACTAGACTATTTGCATTCTGTAGAATCAAATCAGCTAAGAATATTCTGAAGACAGTTCAAGTCCGTGGCTTATTGATGTCGAGATATTGCACTTTTACGGTAGTTTTTAAATGAATTTCGTAGTTAGAGCCCGTTGGATTGGTTTCGGATCCGAAAACTTTGAACTCGATGGGTCCTAGCCATGGTGCCTCACAGGAATATCATGAAAACTAATTTTCGAATTTTGACTTGGAACTCTCCATAGAGACAGACCTTAACGAGACTAGTTTCTTGTGAATGTTTCAGATCTTGCCATTGCTCCTATCTTAAGATAAAACTATGATAAAAACTTGTTCTTTATATCTGATGACAAATTCGACGTTCTTGTGTCAACATAGAAACTAATCAAAAGGTTTGAAACGTTTATAATAAATCACTAACTTATTATCATAATATGAACTTATTGTTATTGATTCATCTGCACTGTCTGATTGAGGATCATTTATCTAACCATCCAAATCCAAAAACTTTGAGCTTGAGCAGCAATTGGATTAAGAACATCATCAAATAATACTGATAGTTCATTAACATTAAATTCAGATTTTTCAATTAATTTTAATGTTGTTTTAAGAATATATAAAATAACACTTGCCTAAATAAATAATTTCTTTTTTTTTTACATTTGATATTTCAAGCTATTGACAAAAGACATCCGGATATTTATTATGATTATTTTTCTAGCATTTTTTATGAACTTTTCAAGTTCAATTAGTTTCGATCAACATTTTCAAAAAAACAACTTCTCAGAATTTTATGACGTATCATCTAGGAATAAATTAAGTATATCAGTTGCCTGATACATAAAACAACTGAGCATCCTTGAGTGCTTGAAGAGTTCGAGATTTTGCCCCATACACACGATCCTTGATTAAACCTCATATAAAAAGAAATCAGTTGGAGTCAAATCTAGAGATCGTGGTGGCCAATCACTTGATCCACATCGATCAATTCATCGATTAGGAACCATTTTATCCAAGAAGTTTCGCACAGAGTGAGCGTAATGAATTGGAGCTTCGTTGTGCATATAGAATATTTCTCCTAAATTCATTCGATATTCAATGGCAGAGACAATTTCTTTGTTTAGCATCTCAAGATAGCTGTGTACAGTAACAGTGTCACGAAAGAAGAACGGACCTATGATATCTCCAGACCAAATTCTAGCCCATACTGTAACACCCAGAGCATTCATCTCTTGTGTAATGACGATATGAGGATTTTCTACGGCATAGTAAACACAATTATTGTGAGATCTTAATCCCACTTATACTTTATTCTTATAACTATAACTGTATCTCCAATCCAATCTCTCCAATTCGTGACAACGTAACGTTATATATTGAGTGATAAAAAACGTTGGAAAATTCCTAATGAAAAATGCCGTGAACGATGAATAGAGGAAGAAAATATCCATAGAACAACATGAAAGAAAGAAGGAAGGAACGATACGGAAAATTCCAACCTATATGAAAGGAGAAAAAAAATCCATAGCACATGACTAAACAATAGGAGAAATGGAGAAGAACATAAGTGCATATGTATAATCCTATACATAGAGAGGGAAAAATCCTTAGGAATACATCTGAAGAAGATACAGGTCATAACAATTATGTCGATTGACGTGTCCATCCAACTTGAAAGTAGCTTCATCGGCCCAAACAATTCGGTCAGGCAACGACGAGTTATCAGAAACCAAGTTCAGAAAAATACCGGCAAATTCACAACGTCAATTGGAGTCATCATTGCTCAAGGCATATAATAAACCAGGATGATAAGGTTTCAATCCCAGCTCTTTCATCATTCATTGGAGGCTAGTTCTAGCAAGATTCAGTCCTAGAGATGCTCTTCTAGTTGACGTTTCGGGACTTTTCTGAAAAGTGGCACGAATGCGTTCTCGATTCTCGATGGTACTAATGTGGACAGTCGAAAACGTTCATTCATGATTAAAAACAATCTGAAAAAGATTCAGTATTATTAGGTTGCAATGGTCATTTACTGCTTATTTTTATCCGATCATGCTACACACGTGACCACACACAGTGCTCGAATAAAAATGTACAGTTGGAACTGTGCGTAGAGCCAAGAATATAAAGAGAACAAAGAAAAATGAATCAGTGGATGGAAGAGTAAACCACTTGTGCTATTGTGTGCAGATACCACTGCTAGCACATATATAAGTATTAATAGGGGAGATCAAATAATATATTTTATGACAACAAAACTCTAACTGTTAAACGTGCTTCCTTACTTTTAACTCTGCTGTATTTGTATGCTTTTGAACAAATTACTACATCCAGATACTGATCATATGCAGCATCTTTGAGTTATATCACCTAGTATATACGATATAAATATCAGATCTCACTGACGATGTACAAAGGAAAAAAGTGAAAAAAATTCTGTATTAGGTTACTTTTGCGCCACTCTGTAGAATAATATCAGTATAGTATGAAAAAAAACAGCCGAAAAACCGATAGTGCTGTATTGAAAATTGTACACAAAAAAACCTAAGCCTTCTACTTAAATATTACACTTTCAGTTTCTAATCTTTTTTACAACTTCGTATTCTTATTGCTTTCAATAGATATTTGGAAAGGTCTTTTTATCCTTTGAGTTCTGTGTACCCTTCGAGGTCGATGTTTCTTAAGAAATTTCAATAATTCATGACGAAATTTCACAGATGAAAGTGAATATATATAAAATGCACCACTATCATGAAGAAACCATAGTAATCGTACTATAGACATGATCAATCGTTCCCATGCTAAATTTTCAGGACTTTTCGACGGGGAAGCAGTTACTGTTCGATATAATTTATGAATAGCATATGGAAGAGTAAATACAATGGCAGAAGCTGTTTGGATAAGTGTCATCCGTTGAAAATCTCGAATACGATGTTGTCGCAAAATTGATGCTCCATTTTGTTGATCAGACTGTCGTCGTTGACGTATATTGTATATTGTAAGAAAACCAAATGTACCCAATAGTACAGGAAAGATTAGTCCATGAGTAATAAGAAAGACAATATCAAAAATTAAGCGATAATCGGTGGTTCCCGGAGCCCAACATTCGTCTTCTTCATCTTCATCGATAACAAAAAAGGATAATATATGTGACCGACAAACAGCTGAAATAATTAAAACAATTAGAATCAAACGTCGTGCAACTTTAATATTAGCCCATTGACGATATTTTACTTGAGAACATGATGAAACATAACGATCGGCAGAGGCAAGTGTGATTAGAATTATTGATGCCAAGGAAGTTGAATATAAGAAAAACGTACGTATTCGACACCACCAAAGAGATGGTATTGGTATATGATAACCAGCTTTTAACATACGAAATAATTGACCAAATAGAATTTGTATAATAGAAACACATGATGATGCAAGACAATAATTACAACATGAATTTGAAATAAGATTTGGTCGAGTGAATATAATTATATTAATTATATGACCAATAAGACCAAGAAACATCAAAGGAGGAATAGTAAATTGATAGATATTATCAGTGATCTCACCAAGGTGAATAACAGTTTGGCTTGAGTTGTTAGACATTTCCATTAATGAAATTCAACTATGCATTTTATTTTATGATCAACCGTCGGTTGTAAATGTCAGTGAAAATATATTGAAAATTTATCACTCTATGAAATGTCATAGAAAACAAGTCTATATTGACAAATTTACTTCAATCACATTAGGAATATATCAATAAAATTTCTCTTATCTCCTATCTTGTTTGATAACGATTTTTTTTACTAAAATTCTATTCACATACGATATGAGAAAAATAGTGGCTGACACGACAAAACACATATGCACACTCAAAGACATTAAATTTACTTGTGTTGTAAACAAATGCCAAATTCTTCAACTTATATGATATGGATGTATCGTATGGGAGACTGAACAGAAGACTCTGACATGGCTACATCCTCGAGCTTTGAGTTCTCAAGCGAATATGCATAATGCACAATAATGCCCATTATCTGACGTATCTATGCCATCACACTTCGGTAGGCGTACAATAACAAGTTTTAGCGAACACACTCAAGTTGGAGCAGCAAGCAGTTACTGAGTGTTGTAATCATGATAGAACTCTTTCATGTCAACTTCAATAACTAATAATTTCTTTTGTGCATAGTTTTATTGAATGGTGTGAATAGTAAACGAATATAAAGAAAGTATAGAAAAGCACAGTTAAAAAGTAAAATATAATTTTTAATAACAGTTCACCAGACATTCGAAATATAATATGAAATGTTCCATAAAGTGCTGCACTCTTCGATGTTTCACAATTGATGAAAAACAAAAACCATCTGGAAGAACAATTTTCTAAATAAAAGTTTGGCGACACCACAACAGATTCTTTTCTGATAGACATGTGTAGATTACACTAAACATTTTAGTTTTAGCATCGAACTCGATCAATGCAGGTTTTCATAAAGTGATATAGAGTTTGTGAACAGTATCCAAGAGTATCGTTTCGAATTGAAATTGATTCATTGATTTCGTCTATGTCATTTGCTTTGTTGGACAAAATTAGTTCTTTTTTCGGATCAAAAGACAAGAAATTTTATTTTCAATGCATTTAAACTTTTCAATTGTAATAATGAACGAAGATGTAGATCGATTGTGAGAAGTTTACATGACATGCTATTGCAGATGAAGCATCAAATGGCTCTATTTCTACCCAGACAAAATAAAACAGAAAACATTCCACTGCACATTCTACTGAATAATTTGCGACTGATACTTGTGACATAAGAAGCCAGAAAGAAAGACATTTTTTGTAGAATAAACAAAAGAGTGCGCATAAAAATGACCATAGAGTGATTCCATGCTTTTGAAAATTGGAAATTTAGCTTCGGATCTAGAATTGACATTCCAATTGAAAGTATCTTGTCTAAAGAAAATGCTCTATATGTTTCTATTTCATCAGATGATGCGTTTCTGATAACTCAAATTTTTTTTTTCATATTGCTAGATACAGTTGTTTTTAACATTAAATTTCGACATCCACTTGTACCGTGTTGATGTGTATTTTGAACAAGAAGATCATTGAAACAAGTCGCTGATTATTTATGAAGCAATCCAACATGAATTCTTTAATCGACAAGAATCTCATAATTATAGTCGATCATAACAATTAAACTTTCTATGAACAAAAAATCAATGTGTCTATACTTAAAAACACATTACTGGGACGATAAAGTTCTCTTTTTTTTATTATTTTTCACTTGTAAATATTCTCTATAGATGGTATATTCAATAATATACAAGATTTACATAATTGAATATCGTTAATGCATTCAGTAATGAGTGCCTATGAGTACAATACTCGCTTATTTTGTCAAATGCCACTATGGCTGAGTGGTTACATTTTTTGACATGTATCCGCAAGTTACTCTGTGCAAACCTTAGTATCATCAGCCAAGGTATATCTGCTCTTGTGTCTAGTATATGGTTGGTTAGTGTCCATGGGTAGCTCAAGCAAGAACTTTGTGTCAGGCTGATCTTCTGTCCAGAACTACAGAGAATAATAGAAAAGTCTAGAATGATTTGGTTTTCTAGGCCTTCATTCTTGAGATATCGAAATTTAACTGCATTTTTCAACAAAAAGCTGTGTGACCGTCCTATTCGACTTCAAACATTGCATGAACAAAGTTTTTAATAAGATTGATTGATTATACAAGATTTAGCTTTGCTAGTATTTCCCATCTAAAGATATAAATTTATGAACAAAGTTTACTTTTATACATGAATGATAGAATTCCGAATATTGAAGTTCTCAGGATAGAAAATACTAGAAAAGTTATAACTTGTCCAATGAAGTAATCTCATTGAGAACTTTGTTCATGCAAAGTTTCAAGTCGAATAGGACAGCTACAGCTTTTTATTGAAAAATGCAGTTAAATTTCGATATTCCGAGAATGAAGGCCTCGAAAACCGAACCACTCTAGACTTTTCTATTACTCTCCAGCACTCATCAAATGAACCTCATCTCAATCGAAAAGCTATTTGATAACTGCAAATGTTTTCTCGTCAGTCTAGTTTTATAGATGTAAACTGATGGAATTTAACCTGACGTACGAGTATTAGACATTCGATTTAATATATTCTTACCTATACATCATCCTTGAAGTGTATTGTTTCAATCAATATCACAGGAAAATTTTTCTAAAAATAAAGGATTTACGATAATTATCATAAAAAAGTGATTTTGTTGATTGATGCTACCTTTCGATTGAAAAGTGCATACTTGAAGAACCATGCATATATCAAAATATATTCAATTAACTATCGAATAGCCATATGTTATATCAAATAAGATAAATCAATATTTGTTTTTTCTTTGCATTATTGCGAATATTTACTCTATGGTTCGCGTGGTGTATATGCATATTGATATAAGATGAAGTAGAAAAGTTTATTGATACAAAAATATATGTTACAAAAAAATTTGATATTATGTTACTGAGTCAATGAATAATCTATGATAATTTTGACTTCTCGATAAATATGATTTTTTTTTCTTTTTGTTTAAACATCTGTTTTAACAGTCCAAAAATGTTTCATTGATAATGCATGACATACTTCTTTTAATGTAAAATGAACTGTATATATATATAAAGTTCCACTTAATATAATTGATATAATTAATGTTATTATAAGTAATGATGGTATAAAATATGCAACAAAAATTGGTAATAATATTGGACTTTGACCAATTAATACACCTAATGTATCAAAATTTTTATCATTCGTTATTTCTACAATTATTGTTCGATAAATTGAATAATTCCATGGTATTGCTAATGCAAGTAAACACATTAATGAATGTTCTTTATAGAATATTGATATATGAGGTAAATATAGAAATGTACAAATAATAATAAAGAAAAGAGGAGAATATCCACGAAATACAGTTTTTATTGTCATACTTAGAATACCTTTATGGTGAATATGAATTTGTTTTAATGATGATAAAAAAGATAAAATAGCTGATAATGATAAAACCGGTACGATAATTATCATTAATAGTAATTTTGATTTTTCAGATGTCCATATTAATGGATAAATAGCCGCTATTAAATATAGTAACTGCATTGTGACTAAAGCTTCTGTTGGATTACATGGTCCAGGTCGAAATTTCATTTTTCTTGTTACAACATGTTCATATGTTGGAGCATGAAAACCAATAAATGATGTTAATAAAACCAATACTGAATATATTGGTGAAAGATGTTTATCTATATGAGTTAATCGTGTTATTGTTGCAATACATGATAAACTTGTTACGATTGAATCAACACCATGATCGAATATCTATAAAAATGGAGTGATTTTTTTTTCTTTAATTTTCTTCGAAGATAAAAAAAACTTACTTCAGTTGTTGCATTTTCATACATATGAACACGTTTACCTTGCATACCATCAAGTGCATCAGCTGTTTGATAAATAAATAAGGCTATTCCATATATTAAACAATTAAAACCATCATTATCGGGTAAATTTATATGAATTAATGTAAAAGCAAGTAGAACAATTATTAAACCGAAAACTGTTACTAAATTTGGTGATATTCTTTTTGGAACAAAGACAAAAAATAAACCCCATAATTTATACATAAATGGAGCTAAGAATGATTGATCTTCTCCAGCATATTTATAATTTCTTAATGCTTCCTTTTTATTATCATCTAATGATAAACTATCTTTCAAAAACATTCCAAAATTGATCATATTTTAATTTTTGTTTTTTTCGTATTGTTTTTATAGAAGAACTAAATTCAAATGAAAGAAAAAAATAATTATCCAAAAAAAAAAGTCAAAACTTAATAATAAATATGAAATAACATAGAAAAAGATTTTAGTTCTTGTTTATTATACTTAATAAATTTATATTTCTATCTTTTATCTAATGTAACCGTATACAAGAATGTATACGTTAAGAACTATATACAACCTGAATGAAGTAGTGGTAATAATAAATGTTATAACTGAGAACATTCACAAAACTACTACGCCAATTTGTCACTAAAATTACAGAGTTTTATATTGAATTAAATTTGGTATAAAAAAAAACTCTGTAAATTGGAATTGTTATTAGAACTATGTGGTCATGTTTGTTATGAAAAATAGTAATCGCAGAATAAGTGATACTTATATAGAGAATGTAGGAGGAGAACGGGAAAAAAAGGTCGATAAAGAAGTCATAAGATTATAGAGGCACATGACGTATCCCGATATACGTCAAAAAAATACTAGTACGTCTATAGTAGCTACATAGACTTTTTTCTCCTGTGTTATCAAGAGAACACCTACGATATGTATTTCTTAGTCGTCATTGTATATCTAAATATTGTCATGTTAGGAAGAGCATATGAGTCATCTTGTTTATTCTCATGTTTTCGGTATAAGTGTATGAAATCCGATCGACCGTATATAATCGGGGTGATATACACTGATCATGTACAAATCTAAGAATCAATTATAAAGTTTTAGGCATTGTCAATTTTCTCTATTACAAAAATCCTTCTATATTAGACAAAGAAGAACGCATTTAATAAATCTTTTATTATGAATTAAAAATAAAAACAGTTTAAAAATTTATACTTAACCGATATCGTCAATCAATATGAAATTCAAGGTTTTTAGTTTATATGAGTTCAATCTTTACAATATCAAGAAGAAACTCCAGTCTTTTCCTCTTTCGATCATACCTAATTATTCATGAAACATAATCCATATGACGTGTGTCCATAAAATATCTATTTGTCTATTGTGTCATGAAATAAATTTTCTCTAGAAAATTCTCATGCAACTTTTTCATCTATATTTTTAAAAATAAACAAATTGTTCGTATTATGGTCAATATTTATAATTTATCTCTCAGTCAGATCGTTGTATTAATCGAAAAAAAAAATAATTTCATGATCTATCCGAAACACAATTGATTTATTGATACAATGTCCCATTGAAAACTAAAACATATTACGATATTGTCGATGCTATGCGAACGTCATATATATCTACTCATATTCTCAACGCTAATACGATAGAATGAAAGAAATAGAACATTCTTCAGGACAATGTGGAGCAGGAAATATTTTCTCGGTTCTTCCAGAAAGAAAACATTGTCTTTCGTTTTAAAACAAAGACAACAGTCAAGTCCCTGTCCAACATAAACTGTTTCGAACTTAAATAATTTCTTGCCTGAAAACAAATGAACATTTCAAATCTAAATAGATATGAAAAATAATAAAATTCAATCAATGATTCTCATAATAATGAATACAAACATGATCTACCTTTTGAAAACATTTAACTAAATTAAAACGTTTTCTTTTTTTGCATCTGCTTTATATAAGATAATCTTTGACGTAAATATCTATTTGTGTTTTTTTTTTCTTTCTTCTATAGTAGTGATATTCATGTTATATCGGTTGACGAGTACCATATGACCTGAGTAATTTTAGATATTTTTTCTTTTATATAACTGATATTTGAAAAATAACTACGCATATCATAAAAATTGTAACGCAATATTTTGTCCGACACGTAAATTCGTAAAACAAAATATTGGAATTTTATTTTGCATAAAAAAACAGAATAATTCATGGATTAAGTTTCGTTAAAACATTATTATCATCGTATATTATTATTAGAATATTGAAAAGAAAATTTCGAATAAAGGCATTGTCATAAGAAGTAAGATTAAAAATTTTGTTAACAATAATAATTATGTAAATAATAGTTTAAATTATGATCTTTAAGGAATTCAAAGTTTTAATAAGATTTAATGTTTTTCTTAATCAAACAAAGCTCGAAGAAATTTTTTATTCAGGTAGGAAGAGATAATCCTATTCAAGGCTTAATATTAAATATAATATAATATTCACGTTAGAAGTGATCTAAATTTTGAACAGAATTTTCATGTTAATACAAATATTTCTAAAAA